TTTCTAGTTAAGTACCTTAAATTAAAAAATTCTTATTATTTTTCTAATTCTGTGTAATAAATTGGGGGAAACAAAGCTCTCATGAGAGTATCTAACTTGAAAAAGGATTAATTTAGGCCAACAGCATAAATGACATTTGTTACATGAAGTGATTAAACTAGAGAAACTTGAACTAAACCATGCATTGATAAAATATTGTCATATTCTTTAATTTTCTACCTTATCATATTTCTACTTTATCAATTTGAGAAGGAAGTGATGCAGTTTACCTCTTTGCAAAGTTTATTATTTTAAAACATGGGGCTGTTAAATGTGATCTCAGAGGATAATACCCCATGAAATACGGAGCAGAACATTGTTTGTTGTCAGCATTATTCTATCTAGCTAACGAAGGAAACTGGTTTTAATATTGTGGCAGGAAGTACTCAATGGATTAAGTAGACAGGGTAGTTTTGGGGGTTTTTGAGATCGAAAAAGTGCATGCAAGATATTACTTGTAGCATAATCGCCAGCCCCAGATTGGGTATTGAAATATTTCAGTTTTATTTTCTAGAAAATGTAATTTGCTTGTCAGAGATTTATGAGGCTGGCTGTGAGAGCCAGACAGAACATCACTATTTCTCTTAGAAGTGGAGCTCTTATATGGTCAAATGTTTCAAAGGTCAATAATGGCCACGAGCCCATGCTCGCAAGAGGAGACGGCTCTGTTTTGCTCAAGTGTCTTCTTTGATAAACTAAGATTCGACATTGATACAAGAATAGCTGCTTTATTCAGCTCTAGTAGGCGTGTGCTGCTTTGTCTTCATACGCTCTGGCTGCAGAAAGGAAAACTCCAGAGATGTTTTTATATCGTAAATAATCAACCTCGTATCGGGGTCTTATATGGCCAGGGATATTAACAATGCCCAAAGATTTGGCCATTTCTCTACCACCTTGGGTTTTGGCTATTTCTGGATTGCACGGGGCCTTTCTAAGGTTGTCCGTGGGAAGGTGGGATCCGCTCATGAGCATTTTTATGATGAAATGAAAGTCATGAGACTTTTGATGGGTACAGGGAGAGTATGTGAGATAAGGTAATTAATTCTAGCAGTTCTGCAACTGAAACAGTGAAGTTGGAGGCTTCAGCCAAATGAAGAGAGGGTCAAAAAAAAGCGTGTTACTTCTTTAGTAAAATGCTGTTTCCATAAGCAGTGATATTTTAGCCATTTGAAAAATACAAGTCGAAGTTGCCATTTTGAGTGCAGCCCAAAGGCTGTGCAATCTGTTAGGCACCAAGGGAGAGTGTAAGAGGCAACACTTTGTCCTCTGAGCTGTCAAAAAGCTATGATTCTGTATAAACAGGCATCTGGTGATCTGAGCTGTGCATGCTAACAGAAATGGAAAGAGATATTTCACCAAGTCAAAGACAGCAGTTCAAGCACAAAAGACAATTCTGCTGGTGGGGAGAGGAGGGCAGGCTGGAGCCAGAGCAGAGACCTGCTCCGGTGGTCGGCTCTTTGCAAGAGCTAAGGAGGTTTGCAGCGCTGGCTGGAAATCTGGCAGCTTTTGCGAAGGAGAGAGAGAGCATAACCAGCAAAGAACGGGGAGAATTATTTAAAACTGATCTTCTTGCCTTTGAAACGTGTCTTTGCTTGCTGTGTTAATAGAACTGATTGCTGAAGAAATGGAGGAAGAGAATAAAGAGCATACGTGCGAGACGTTACTGATGTGCATTGTTACTGTACTGAGTCACGGGCTCAGGAGTGGGGGTGGAGTAGGAGATGTGCTCAGGAAACCATCCAAAGAGGTAAATTATCACTGAATGGGGGCGGAAGAGTGATAACCATGTAGGGCTGGGGATCTGGTTCTGCTGGGGAAAATGTGTATACACTCCCTTTAAACAGATGTAGGATACATCGCCACTCGAAGGGACCACGCTTTCTCTCTGTGTAATATAGTTAAATCTCTGTAGGATCAGATTAAACAGCAGCCAGTTCAAACAAGCTTCTATCCATCCTTTTTTTTTAGGGCTTTTTTAGCTTGAGGGCTGTCCAGAACGGGGCCCATAAGAACAGAAATGGTGTAGCCAACAGTCTGTGCTTTGGGAGTTCAGGATCTGAAGAAGTAAGAGAAGTACAAGCTAGTGAAAGAGTAGCGTGAGGTAGCGGAGTGAAAATGCAGCGGTAGCTGATACCATGCTGGTGACACGAGTTTCTGTGGAGAGCATCCCTAGGGAAAGGTAAGATGTGTAAAGCAGGGAATGGATGAGAGGACAGGGAGCAAGATGGGTTGGAGCTGGGACTGTGGGAAGGAAGGAAAGATGTTGTCTGGAGCCATCATCACAGAGCAAGGACCAGTCAAAGAAGCAGGAATTTCTCATAACACCCAAAGCTGCCCATATAGCTGCTGCTTCAGCTGTCTGTGCCCGTTTGAGCCGCAGGCTGTCCTCCCTCTGGTCGTTCCCCAAAACCACGTTAGGGGCCGAAGAAGCAGTCTTGCTCAGAATGGATGCTTTTCTGTATTGTCTGCAATTTCAAAGTGCTTTCTAATTAGCCTTATTTTCAACTTACAGTGGTTTAAAAGTTACATAATTCGTAATAAAAGTTTGGCACCCAGCTGGCAGGATGGTTCTGAAAACAGGGGTTAGGTAGTCAGGCTTGCAATAAATATGAAATGGGTGCTGGGAAGTCCCAACTTCATGTCCACACACATGGTCATTAGCATAAATGAAATGAATGCTATTAAATTGCAGGAAAAGACTTTATGGTCAACACTGATACTGTATTGATATATTAAGCAGATTAATATAAGGATAGAATTTGGCTGGGCTTGCAGGGCGGGGGTGAGGAGAGAGGACGTTTCAGCGTGCGTGAGAGAGACGAGGACCAACTTGGGCGCAGCGCGCAGTAAGAGCAGCTCTGTCGAGATCGCGCACTGGTAGCTGACTAATTTGGCTTTTCTTTCAGTCATCTTGCATTTTAGTTTCACTTAATGTTTTGAAGTGTAGGTTATCATTGGAGAGCATCAGAAATGGAGACTCTGAAGGGAGGGGTTGTGGGGCAGCGTACTCTGCTGAACTGAAGAAGGCATGGTAAGGGTTAGAGGCGCACGTATTTGGGTTGTTAATTATTAAAATGTGTGTCTTGCAGGAACCTCTCTTTGCTGCTAGAGTGATATATGATCTGTTATTCTTCTTCATGGTCATCATTATTGTCCTTAACCTGATTTTTGGTGTGATCATTGACACCTTTGCTGATTTAAGGAGTGAAAAACAGAAGAAAGAAGAAATTTTAAAAACTACTTGCTTTATTTGTGGTAAGTGTAGAAACACACTTAAGAATAAGGGGTTACTCTGTCAAAGCCAGAGGTAGCTGCAAACTAGCAGGGAACAGGAGTCCTGAATTACTGGCTGTTCCTACCTTGCATTCCTCAGCTAGTTGATATTCTCGGGTACCACGTGCGTAGGAGCTTGGCAGCAGGAAGAGATGGGGAATGTATGCTCAGTATACTGTTTTTTCCTCAAATCCTTAGTTTCTGCTTGTCCTGTGCTTCAAAGAATAGTTTGCGAATGGAATGGGAGAGATTTTTATGAACGATTGGGTTTTTTCCAAGGGTGCAGAGTGGTGAGTAGTGCCTGTGAAAGTTTTTCACGTCAGTAGACTGGGAATTAAGCTGCCGAGCCTTTGAGGCCGGTGCAGTCAAATGAGATGGTCGTGCAGAAGTTGCATAACACACAGACTGGCAGAAGTAACTGTTGGAAGTTTGCTGCAAAGCAAATGTTGTGTTTGGTATCATTTTGCCTAAAACCAGCAGATGAGTTATGAAATCCAGCAAACTGATTGCATTTTCTTTTTTTTAACCAAGTTTTCTGTTACATGTAAGTGTGAGCAGTACTTGTTATGCCTTCTTGCTCTTCTCACTACATTGTGGCCATTTGTTAGAGAGTTTATCCCTCTTACTCAGTGTTCATTTAAGGAGGATTGTGATGCTTAAGTGCAGCAGACTGCAGAAACAAGTTTTGTTCTTAGAGCTCGTTTTCTTAGTACCAGTTAATAAATACTAATGGTCATATATGCGTGTCACTCTTGTAGGTTTGGAAAGAGATAAGTTTGATAACAAGACAGTCACGTTTGAAGAGCACATTAAAGAAGAGCACAATATGTGGCATTATTTGTGCTTTATTGTGTTAGTGAAAGTAAAAGATTCGACAGAATATACAGGACCAGAAAGTTATGTGGCAGAAATGATCAAGGTGAGTTGGTTTTGGGTTCCCCCCCCCCAGATTAGACCAACCTGCTGGCATATTTGGTAAATACGGTCATCTGTATTTTATTTATTTTGTAAGCAAAAACTTGGAGTAAGACTTTTTCTACAATAACAGGCTTAATCCAATGCCTTTCCTTTTAGAAGCATCTTCTAAAGATATTTAGAATAAAGATATTTAGAAAGATATCAGATGCGCTGGGCCGGGTAACGCGGTAAAGGACATTGTGTTGGCGGCAGCACGTTGCAGCGTTGCTGCAAAGGGATGGTGCGGGCAGGGGCACTGGTGGGAGCCGACGCGTGCTGCAGCGCCGCAGCCGCAGGGCGATTTGTGTCTGCGTACCTGCAGCTTCTCAGCCTCCGAAACGCTCCCGTGCCTCTGCCGGAGTAGGTGGCGGTGAGCAGTGACAGCTGCGTAGTCTCCATGGTGTTAAATCAGGTGCA